ATTGGAGATTGATGACAGCGTTAAGCCTAAATTTTATAAACCACGACCTGTACCTCTTGCACTCAAAGAATTGGTCGAAGCTGAACTTGATAGACAAGTTGAAATCGGTGTTTTGAAGCCATGTAAAACATCCGATTGGGCTGCACCTATGGTTACCGTATTAAAAGCTGATCAGAAGTCAGTTCGGCTCTGTGGAAGTTATGACTTGACTGTAAATAAAGCAAGTCGTCTTGAGCAGTATCCATTGCCAAAGGTGGATGAATTATTGACTAAATTTGCTGGTGGGGAAAAATTCTCTGTTATTGATCTGAAAGAGGCATATCTGCAGATACCATTGGCAGAAGAGAGTCAAAAGTACACAGTAGTTAATACACATAAGGGATTATTCACGACAAATCGTCTTGTTTATGGAATATCAAGTGCCCCAGCTATATTCCAGAGATATCTTGAAACACTGCTGGGTGACATAGCAGGTGTAGGTGTTTTCCAAGACGATATTGGAGTAACCGGTTCTTCTGATAAAGAACACATAGCCAGATTGGAAGAAGTTTTCAAGCGTCTTACAAATGAAGGTCTAAAAATTAATCCAAACAAATGTAAATGGATGGTTTCAGAAATTACTTATCTTGGATATCGTATAAATAAACTTGGAGTTCAACCAACTGAAGATAATCTGAGAGCTGTTCTGGATGCCCCAGAACCACAAAATATACATCAGTTGCGCTCATATCTGGGGATGCTTAATTATTATGGTAAATTCATTAAAAATTTATCAACTGTTGCTGCTCCTTTGTATGAACTTCTTCGTTCGAATGTTCGATGGCACTGGAATAAAAGGCAAGTGGAAGCTTTTAAGAAAACGAAATCGCTATTGTGTAATGCTCCATGCCTTGCTCATTTTGACGGAAATGCCGCCGTCATTGTTTCTGCAGATGCCAGTCCTTATGGAATCGGAGCAGTTTTATCTGTAATAACGCAGGAAGGAGAACGTCCTGTGGCTTTTGCATCCAGATCTTTGTCAAAACCAGAGCGTAATTATAGCCAATTGGATAGAGAGGGATTAGCTCTAGTATTCGCTGTTACAAAGTTCCATTCATTTTTATATGGAAGACCGTTTTGTTTTGGAAACTGATCACAAGCCACTTCTCGGTTTACTTGGGAAGAATAAGCCACTTCCTGAATGCAGCTCCACCGAGAATGATCCGTTGGAAAGTATTACTTGATGGATATCAATACGAATTAGTGTATGTTCCAGGTAAAAACCAAGCCAATAGCGATGCACTAAGTCGTTTGCCTTTGCCTGTTAAACCGGATTATATACCCCGCCTTGTGGTGATGTAGTGAATCTTCTTGAAGGCAGTCGATTCTACCTTGTTAAAGTTGATGCAATTCAGTCTGGACGAGAAAAATCCTGTACTGTCCGCAGTTATGCATCATACTCAAATGGGCTGGCCAAAAATCTTCTGACATAGACCCAGAATTACAAATTTATAGAAGCAAAGAGACGGAACTAAGTGTCCATGAAAATTGTTTATTTTGGGGTTGTCGAGTAATTATTCCGCCACAAGGAAGACAGAAAGTGTTGCAATTACTTCACGATGGTCATCCTGGTATTTGTTTCTATGAAAAGAATTGCTCGTAATCATGTATGGTGGCCTGGGGTTGATGCTGATATTGAAGAGTTGGTGAAATCTTGCAGTTTGTGTCAACAGTTACGTCCCAGTGCACCTCAAGTTCCTGCTAGCCCATGGTCTTATCCTAATGGTCCATGGCAAAGAATACATATGGACTATGCCGGTCCAGTTGATGGGAAAATGCTTCTTGTATGTTGATGCGTTTAGCAAATGGCCAGATGTGTGGATTACATCGTCAGTTTCTGCTCATGAAAACTATTGAAAAAGTCAGACTTTCATTTGCTACACATGGATTACCACTAGTTGTAGTCACTGACAACGCTGGTTGTTTTGCAGGAGACGAATTTGCAACATTTCTAAAGGCAAATGGAGTGAAGCACTTGTTTTCACCACCGAGACATCCGGCTTCTAATGGCCAAGCTGAATCAATGGTAAAACAAGTTAAACTTGATTGAAGAAACAAGCACCAGCAATCTTTGTTCAGTCAGACTTGTTCGGGTGGTTATTTAAATAACCGAACTACACCACATACAACGACTGGTCAGGACTCCGTTCGGAATTACTTTTTCGTCGTAAGATTAGAACGCATCTTGATCTAATCGCACCTTCATCACGTTTGAAGAAGTCAGCAGAGAATGTTCCAAGTGGAATAATAAGAACTTTTCACATTGATGACCCAGTTTTTGATTACAGAAGTCGTTGGATCTCGTTTCAAATGGGTTACCTGCCACCAGTAACTGAAGTTATGGGTCAAATGTGTCGTGTTCGTTTGAACGATGGAAGAATTTTTAGACGTCATCTTGATCATATTCGACATCGATTTTCTGCTGATGATGTAATGGTACGTGAAGGGAATCAAGATTTTAGAATGAGTGAGAGAATACCAGCTGCAATTCCAACAGGAATACCTGATGTTGATGTGGGAGATAGAAATTCAACTCCTACCTCTACTGCTACTGAAGAGACTGATGAATCTCAAAATGACAGAGACAATGTAGACCCAGTTCCTAATTTTCCAGAATCGTCCAGTAATTCAAACATACTTATAAAACAAGATCTGGCAGAATATCAAAACCGCCAGAAAACTATCTCTATAAGAAGTTTTATAATTTTGTACTGGACAGAATTATAGTTATAAAAGTTTCTTTGAATTTCTTAGTTTCTTTGTGAAATTCTGTACGTTGCTTGTATATTTGTTTTTGCAATATTTTATACCATTTGATTGGAAATGTTGGAATTCGGGTAATTGTGTTGTACATTTATTTTTAATATTTGGTTCTTGAATTTGTACAATATTTCCAAAAAGGGGGGAAGGAGTGTTATATATTATGTTGAGCTTACTATCATAGCTTGTTTACTACTCTATCTGCTTGTGTGCTATATTGTTACGTCACAATGCTGTCTAGTGCCGTAAGTTGTTTTTCCTCTGTTTAGAGGTCTTTTGTTCTGAACTAAGTTGACGGACGGATGTCCAAATAAATCGCGTGCAGTTTTGTAATGAGTCTGTATTCATTACTTGTTATAAAGATATAACAATTCCCTCTAAAACCTCAGCCCACAGGTGTCGATGACTGTCACAGTCTTTCGCGACTCCTCATCTATTGCTATGAATCTCTCACTTGTATGAATTCTTATGTGTATAATTGCATTTTTGGACACGTTCATAACGATCGTTTCAATATTATGTTGTTGTTGTTGTTCTTGTTCTTCGACACGTTTTTTAAAAATTCGCTTTTCTCTTCGAATACTGGACCAATTGCTTTGAAATTTTCAGTGGTTAAAGATTAATTTTTTCGCTAGAAGGCTATTACTTTTATTTATTTCAAAATTTTGCGTGAATTCTATGAAATTTGATATTTCGTCTAAAATTTTTGCTGTATTATTTTTTATCCATGGGAACACGGATTTTAGTCAGTGTCATGACTGGCTGTACGTTTTGATTCTGCAAAATTCTTGCTACTGGAAATTCAGAACTTTTTTGAGGGTACCGGTAGCGTCAAAGGTAGCGGTAAGGACTGATTCGCTCTGGTCTGACGTGTCCATATATTTGTGCGTAGCTCTCTTGTTTACTTTGTCATTATACACGTTTGTCAATTTTACGTGCTTCAATTTGTGTCGATTCTTGCATAATAGTAATAAATTATCTGAATCTGATACCTGCAAAAGATCGCACGAAATTGCTTTTGATCCACGGGGAAGTAACTTCCTAAATTATACTGCAACGTCAAAAGCCACGCTGCGGTTGAAGCATTTTCCCTCGAATTCCCGGTCGGGACTTTTTAGCCATGATGCCAATTGCTATAAAAGCAGTGAAACAGATCAGTGACCAGTTCCATCAGCGAACGAGGCGATTCAATATTGTACCTGATCAAAATTTCTTCAAATATTAAAAAACTCGTGTCGAGGCCCCAAGGTCTGAAGGTCGGTTGTATGTATCATCAAACAACACCTTGATATATATTTGATTAGTCTAAATTTTTATTAAGTTTGTAAAATTATTTATTACTCAACATTTTTTTTTATTTCCTCCAGGGCGATGCATATTATTAAGTGCTGTAAGAGGGCAAGGGTACAAAAAAGTTTGAGAACTGGTGCTGAGTGTTTATTTCATTTGCCAAAACTAGATAGAACACATATACGCATACATATAAAAATGATAAACGAACGCTTTCGCTATGATTGGGTAGTAACGATGCAACCTTGAGGGATCACTGAGGCTGTTGCCACCCCACACAGTTACATAAATAATCAGACGGGTTCAATACTAAATAAATCATTGACGCATGAAACACTCATTATATATAGTGTCTTCAGCATCCTTAGAATAAGAAAAGTCCTGCAAAGTCACTCTATACCAAATTGATAATGAAAAACTATGTCTATATCTGTAAATTAAGAAACATAAGCTAGCCAAACCTCACTAATATTTTATTAAGTGAATATTCAATTTTACATGTTGAATGGAAGATATGCGAAATTAGCCCTTGAAACCTTCTAAACCAGAGTATGAATGCATCATGTTTGACATGTACACCTTCGGATTGAAATACCTGGTGCATGTGACATCTGCTGTGCTCTAAGCATTCAATGTGTAAATGATTTTTGTGCTCCATTTCAAATATTTCTCCACCCCCCCATCTGTATTCTGTACCACAATTGGCATTACTTAGAAAGAATTTTCAAAAATTTCATAGAAGTCAAATAACTTGATTGCACAATGTCCAAATGTATAGATTGATTTGTGAGCATCATCGTTGAATGTTATACTTTTCATTAACAATAGCAGTCTTTGTCATGTGGAAAAACAAATGATATTTAATTCAGGTCTTGAACTAGGCAGCTTACAAATGTGAATAACAATTTTCATCGAATCTCTTCACTTTATTTCCACTTTCAAACACATCTATCTCCAAGATAGAGTGATGTAAATCCAATGCATTTGATTTTCATTCAATAATTACCTAGCGCTAACTGTAATTCAAACAGTCTGTATTTTTAATCCGGTAGACTAGCCTCTCACATTTGTGTCGGGCCCAATCTGAAAACAAGAAAAATGTAGATTAAAATCTATTACGCTTTTCACAATAAACAAAGCTAGCATATGGCACAACATTATCAAGTTACTGGAAAATGGTTGTTTTATAGTTATCAGCAAATACAGAAATAGTCAGAAAACAAGACGACTCAGTGATGCCTAACTGCCCATCAAGTTGAAATAAATTTTCTGCCTTGAATGCAAATTTATGATTCAAAATCAGTCGAACTTTTTCGCAGTCCTTGTTTCTACAAATCGATTCAGTCAAAACATTCAAGTACATGCAAGCCCAATTCATATGATTGAATCGCCTATCTGAAAACTTCCTATTTCTACATTTTCAGAGGCGGAATATGTTGCAATGTGGGGAAAATGATTTTCGCAGTAGCTACTAATCTACTATATACAGTTGTTGAAAACTGACTTACCTCTTCGAATTTCCCTAGACAGAAGTTCGATACTTTTTCAAATACACAATCAGCTTCAGCAATTTGACAAATATTTTGTGCATCTCTCTTAGTCTCTTTATGATTTCGTTTCCTCATAATTCCCTTTGACGCAAAGGACCAAATGCAATTTGTGTTATTGATTCATGGATGTATATCCAGTCGGGTAGAGGCAATTTTTTTCGCTTGCTTCGAAGTCTTTGTGCCAATCTCAAAAATTCTGCTCTTAACAGGGACAATTTTGACAATAGTGGCTTACAGCAGCTTTGATATGTTGTCTCAGTGTTCAAATTTCTTGCATACAGATAACAGTACATGCACGTAGTATGAAGCTTGGGAACCAAGATGTAAGTAGGATTTTCAATTTGAAATCTTTATCCATTTTTTCAGGTTTTCTAACTAGATCCAGATGAGTACTCACCAGCATTAAAATGCTTCCATCGTTCAGAAAAAATTTCAATTAGGCTATAGATATATTAGAAGGTATTCCAACATCTGCAAACATATAGTAACAGGAATTGTAAAATGAATGAAATATAAAAAGAAATGAGTAATCATGTGTAAAAATAAACTAACAAAATGTAGTGAAAACATTAGTGAACTAACGAAAAATGCACTATACAAAAATCATCTGCATCAGGAGGTACAGCATTTATTTTAAAATCCACAACATGTTACAAATATTTCAATGTCTCTGTGATTTGCGAAGGTAATAGTTATTGGACAACACACCAATGGTACAAAAGAATAGTCATTGCATTTTCAATACTCTGTACCGGTCTTTTAGATTCACAGCAGTTCTGTTATAGAAATCAAATTCATCAAGTATCTTTTTCCAATTTCCTTCACCATATTTATTTACGCCATCTAACAAATTTCCATCCTCTTCTTCAGTCCATCCCCTTCTCCGTCCTTGTCTACTTTTTCCAGTCATTAAAAAGATTCCAGATGGATCTTTGTTGAAAGTTTCTGCTGGAAAAAGCATTTCATCTTCTTTTAATAATTTAATTGGAATTTCTTGGTCATGTAGTATCACTTTTCTTTTCCTCTTTCTTTTGTATTGGAAATCTCGACTACTCTTGATACTATTAGTTTTAGTAATAGTTTCTTCAGCAGCAGTGACTTCGGAAGTCGAAACCATTCTATTTGTCAGGTCGATGCCAACAACTTTTTCGACAGATGCTTTATCCTTCCCCTCAATTGGCGAAACTGTCTTATCAACATGGGAGGAAGTATCTTGATCAGCAACATCAGAAGAAATAGGATCATTCTGACCCTCATTATTTCCAGATTCCAACATACTATCCTCATCAGTGTTATTTACAAGGATGCAGACATCTGTGGTCAATTCCCCTGATTCTAACTTTACTTTCTGAAGTACTAGAACAGGAGTGTTATCGAAAGTACAATGATTTTTTAGTATAATCTCACTTGGTGGAGGTTCTAGAGGTCTGTCATTCAAATCGGTGTTATCTGGAGCAATAAATTCTTTTTTAATAGTCATTTTGGTCGAAGACTCCTCCTGTTCAATTGAGGGTTCTGTATCTTGTGTCAAGTTCACTGCTTCATCCTCAAAATTTTCTATTGAATTGTTCTCCATCCACTGTTCAATATTGTTGGGAATATCAGCATCCTAATTATATAGATAATTATTAAATGATAAAGAAATTGGAATAAAATAAAAGCTCTATATGTGTCTGGATGAGGATACACAATACAGTGCTTCAGTTCAAGTCTAGAAGAGCTGGCTGTGTGGCTCAAGGCACGGCAGTGTGGCTTATCATGCTAAGCGTTAGTAATGCGCTCAACACCGCACCTCTGATTAATCTGCGTGGGTTCGATCGAACCCTATACAGGGATAGTTATGTGCGAGAGGATTGCTGAACTCCTCGCTGCCATACTGTGGTTTACGTAACCGCTGGTCGGTTACGGCCTTCTCCACCATCAAGCCCATGCTTCTGGAAACTGATGACTAACTAATCCCATACCCGACATGGAATGGTAACTGGACGAGAGGTCGTGGTTCGCCATATGGGTAAGCCGTCTTATCGGCTTTTCTTTCCCTCAGGATAAATATGTCAATCCTATCCTTGATGATATATTTAAATATTTAACTAAAATGCTGCGAATGAGTTACCTATCGAAACTTATAATAGAACTACTTACATCTAAACATTTCAGAACATTTAATTCTTTTGAATATCTGCTTTCCTCAATCGGAACACGAGATATTTCAGAGCTTTTGACAGAATCTTCTTCTGCAGTTATGTACTCTGATGCTGAAGGTGATTGAGGTCGTAGTGCTTCTCTTTGTCCCTTTTCCGTGCCTAAAACTAATTTGTACAATGAATGACGATTAATCAAAACTTGATAACCGGAGTGGAATAGGAATAAAAAATAAATAATTTCTTGCAAGAAACAATAATATTTTTACTTTATTAATAATCACAAGTTTTGACCAAGAGGTAGTGACGCAGGAAAAGTCATGTCCGTACACAATACAAATGCGCAGCGTAATTCCTGAACCACTTAAGATGAGTGATCTTTACTTGCCATCACACTAAATAAATATACCTTGGCATAGCATGGTAGCAAAATTTCCACAACCCTGTGAGAGCAATTAAAACAAAAAATACATGGAATAGGACGAGATTCATTGAATCTACTGATGTGGAACTCCATTAGCACCTGTAGTGTGTGTGTGCACTTAGTGCGATGATTTTTCTATAGATTAGGAAATAGGCATTCGAAAAACTTGTTATGAGCAAGTATGAAACACATTATATAAAAAAATATAACAGTGCTATTGCTATATTCATTTTTTGGATTAAACTACATTAGAGCAGTTTTTTTGCAATTCCCTCCGAACTCAATAACACTGTCTTGATCGCTGTGAAATAAATATATTATAGCAGCGATTCCCAAAGGGTGCAATTTGCTAAGTGCGGCCCGAATTTTTTTTTAGTATTTTGAAGAAAAGCCAGGCAGAGTTGAGAAAGGAGTGTTGACCTTTCAACTTTGCGTACAAGTTTACCAATTTTAAATAGGTAAAGTACACATTGATAACGATAACAAAATTGAGTCTTATTTAATTTTAAGAGCAGCAATTTTTTTTTTCATGTAAGTGGGTCGTGAGTTTTCCCTTGATAATTTGGTGTCGCACGAACAAGTAGTTTGCAACCGCTTTAAATTCAATAATGGATTACCTGAATTTTCATCAGTTGACCCCGGTGATGGGAAACTATTTTCATCATTTCTTCCGTCTGAATCTGCAATATTCCCAGTGATATCAACTTGAACCAGTACAGACGGCGGAGTTAAACTTTTTTGTGCTTGTGTGGTATCAGTAATAAACTTGTTCCCAATATTTGTTATGGATTGATCAGTGCTCTTTAGTATTGATTCTTTCACAGACGAATCTTCTCCTGATGTTGTTCCTAAAGTTTGAGAAGATTGTCTCATGTCAATATTCGTAGAAGTTATGGCATTTACAGTGAAGTTCTTTTTTTGCGACTGAGATGTACTAGCTGATGTAATATTTTCCATATCATCTACAACCTCAACTTCTACCATGTCAGAGTCTGTAATCTTTGAATTAGATACATTTTTTTCAACGTCTGATATTACTGGTGTTTTTATTCCAAGATCATCATTTTTATTATCAAGACCATGCCGCCGCATACTATCATCTTGAATGGGCTCAGAATCAAGGCCCTCAGATTGCGCTAAATTTTGAATATTTTGTGATTCTGTATCAATCAGGATATCTTTGTTGAAAGAACTGTTATCTTCATCAGACATTTTTTTCAAACATTTATTTTCCACATTCTGTTCCTTCATACTTGCATTGTTATTTGTGTTTTTGAAATCCTCTGACGAGTTTGGGTCTGTCTGTGGGTTAATTCCATATTTCTTGCTTTTTATAGCGACATCCCTTTTCTTTTGTTCCAAGGTATGGATTTCACTCTCCCCCAAAGCCACCGGCGGCACCGTGTTCGAATTCTCATTTGATTCATTTTGGACATATATGTCTGAAGACTTCGTTGGACTCTTCAAAGTTTTAGAACTGGTAGGTTTAGATGATTCTGGAGTAAAGAGATCTCTATTCTTTTTCCCAGTTTGTAACAATGCAGGAGCTTTTTTAACAACTTTCTTTTTTACCCTCGTACCAGTTTCTAACCAGTTTTTCACACACTCCATATCAGATGGATTCATAGATGTTGAGCTTTCTGCATCTGATATAACTTCTGGAGGAGAATAATTCAACTCAAGTGACTTATCTGATTTCTTATCATCAAAGAAATCAGTTATTTTTTTTTTTTTATTACTCAAAATGTTCGAATCAAATTTGGATTCCAAGTGTTTAAACAGTGTAATATACTTGTTGGACAATTTAACTTCGTTATCCACAATTGTCACCTCTTTTTTATTCAACATTGTCCTCCATCGATCTTTCAAATGACTGGCGGTTCTATATTCAGGAAAAGGGAATGAGTCTAAAGTTTTTTTCCATTTATTTTTGCTCGTTCCAAACTTTTGAATTCCCATAATGATATAAGTGTCCTGCACTGGGTTGAATTGACGCTTATGTGTGGAAGAATAACTTATAACAGATGATGCCGTCCAACTACGAGAATGTTTTGAAATACTTACTCCCCTGATTCTTCCTGAACCTGAATTAGGTTTGGAGGTAGTTGGTCGATTGGGAAATGGTATAATTGGAACTTTAGGGCGATCTGAGGTGACGTCACTCCTACTTTCATTATTATTAATAGGTCTGGCAGAATCTTCCTTTATCAAATCTTCTTGCTGATTTTCTGGCTGTGATTTTTTTTCCGGTGCACATAATGGTTTGGAATTATCAACATCATGCGTATTACTGGCAGAAAAAGTTTCCGAAGGCATGGTATCTTGATTGCTTTTATCTTGCATTAAATCAAGGTTTTCACTTTGCTCTACATGTGATAATTCTTGATTTGGGTCATCATTGGAATCTGATTCATAAATATCAATCATTCCTTGATATTCTTCTGACATCACATTAAGTTTTTCATGGCAGGTATTCGCAACATTGACTATAAAAGGATCTGGAACAATGTCAAGCATTTTTTGCACAGTTGCGGCTACAATATTTACATATTCTGTGAATGAGCAAAGCAATCCATTTGTATCATGAAGACCAAGAAGAACACATTTAATGCTGTCCTGCTGATATTCAGATAGTGATTCTTGATATCGATTGAACACAATTCTTGATTCGGACTTGTTGTTTAAAAGGACTTTGATTATTTGAATTATAGTCTCAGCTTTAACCCTGCGCAATTCTTTCATAAATCTATTAGAAGCATCTTTAGAATAACTGAATTTGCATTTCAATGCTGAATTCAAGTAAGCAAGACCATCCTGCAAGGATCTAACAATGTCTGCAGTGGATTCATGTTTAATTTCAACAACAGTCGCAACGAATCCCCACATAAAATGAATACCACGTTTATCATCATATTTTTCAATCTCATATTCTTTAGTAATCTTTGTCAATAAATCCGATGCTGTAAGAAGATCATTTTCCAGAATAGAATGACAGTTTACAAATCTTCGTAATGAAGAATACACAAAGTATTCATACAACCATAAATTCTCTGCCAACTCCATCATGGTAAGTCCTCATCAAAAAATTATTTGTATGATGTTGCAATAGTTATTGGACACATTTCCGCATATACACTGACATGATATTATTGTGTTTCTATTCATTCCAACTAGCCTGCCAAAGAGAGAGAATTTATTTTGCTTGTCAAACCAGAAAACACGAGTAAAATAACTTGTCCACTATGAACAACAAAACATGCTAGATTTATTAAATTTGAAGCAAAGCCAGAAAAAGGACGGTAAATAAATATAAACAAAAAATCAACATAAAGCTAAGATTTTGAAATACCGTTCTTGTTTCCCTAATCCTTCCTGAACCTGAACTAGGTTTGGAGGTGGTTGGTCGATTGGAAAAGGTTGTATAATCTGATAATTGGAACTTTCAGACTTTAGGTGACATCACTCCTACTTTCATTATTATTATTAGGTCTGGCAGAATCTATGTCTATATGTTTCAGTGTTTACCAAATCTTTTTGTTGATTTCCTGGCTGAGATGAAGGAATATACTCTTTTTCCATTGCAAATAACAGTATAATGTTTTGGAATAGCCTACATGAACTGGTAACCAGGCAAGAGGCTGTGGTTTGCCATATGATTTAGCTGTTTTAACCATTCTACTAAAACAGCAAAATATCCTAAAATTTTTATTTAATACTAATTCAGTAATTATAAGCGGGGTCTTACTACTTACTGAATACAGCGCGAAACACCGCAAAGAGCGCAAAACAGCGCAAAAGAGCGCGAAACAGCGCAAAATAGCGCAAAAGAGAGGAAAACAGCGCGAAACAGAAGGAAACCAGCGCAAAACAGAGGGAAACAGCGCAAAACAGGAGACGCAGTCATTACCACCTCCTGCCACGAAAGAACCACGGCGCCTCTCGCCATGGTTTTATGGCGCTATTTCCGGCATATTTACAAGGTTATGTACCGGATTATAGGTCATCATGCGAAATTTTATCTACCTTTTTGGTGCTCCAGAAGTATGTGCAGCAATATGTCGCACAACCTGAATCCGCTACACACACACACTATTTTCAGGTTGTGCGCCATCTTGGTGCACATACTTCTGGAGGTCCCTTTTTACCTAACCCTAACCCTAAAGCCAACCATATCCATATGAAAAATGTTCTGGCTACATACGTTGGTTTGTGTTTTTAATTTGCTGCCGTGGTACTCCAACTCAAAACAAGGTGTCCCGAACTCATTGCAAAATTTTTTTCTGCTTCACACTGTTTCCCTCTGTTTTGCGCTCTTTCGCGCTGTTTTGCGCTGTTTCCACACTGTTTTGCGCTGTTTCCCTCTGTTTTGCGCTGTTTTACGCTGTTTCGCGCTGTTTTGCGCTGTTTCGCGCTGTTTTGCGCTCTTTGCGGTGTTTCGCGCTGTATTCAGTAAGTAGTAAGACCGTTATAAGCGCACACATGATGTACTGGATTAACAAAAGGGAAATTAGGTAAAATTTAAGATGATGTTCGAAGGTGTCATGTTTTGCAGTTTTGACGAAGTGCAGTTTTGTGTATTCTGTGGCGTCTGCAGCTGCTGCAAAACCATGGCGGTATTTCCATACCATGGCCGCTATAGCCAAACCTATGGCGACTGACTTTTAGCTGCCACAAACCAATGACGAGCTGCCGTTACCGCGACAGCAAATTGAAAACCAATGGCAGGTAAAATTTTGCTGCCATAACCACGGCAGCAAAACCGTAAAAACAGGGCTGTCCCTCATGGTGACAAATATTGGGTAAGTTGGAACGTTTTTTTTATGGATACAGTTTTGATGGATCTGGGGTTAGGGTTAGGGTTTGGATAGATATAATTCCGTATGATCATTTAAAATCTGGTACATGAATTTGTGAATATACCGTTAATACTGATTACTCAATACTGCAATAGCGCAATAAAACCATGGCAAGAGATGCCACGGTTCGTTCGTGGCAGGAGCTGCCATGAAGTGGTACGTTAAGAATTGCGCCTCGTTTCGACTGCACACAAAGCACAAATGTACCATTGTCTGATTGTAGGCTAGTACCGGTACGGTATATTCTATTCTGTAAATAACAAAAAAAATTAGTCACCAGGTCCATAACTCATAAAGGTCTGAAACATATGAAAACAATGTTAACGAAAAATTATACAAAATTGTGATACCAAACCAACCAAGTACGGTAGGTACCGTAGTCAATGTAACATTCTCAACCTACTGCTTGACCGGTACTCCAGTCTGGATTTCATGGCCTTTTTGAACGAGAAATCGGGCGTGCAATCAGAAATTCCCGCGTGCAAATAAGAATTCCTGGCGTGCAATTATAGCTCACGACGTGCAAAACAACTGCACTCGCGTGCAACTGACTTTGACATCAGATACCTCTCAATACATCCGCGTAAAATTACCGTTATCGGATAAAAAATACGTTAAATCAGAGAAAAAATGGACGTTTGACCTTTGACCCCAAACATTATTTCTACAGTTTGTCGCTAATTTTGAGAGTGTTTGTGCGACTTTGGATACCGGTACTGTTCAGTACATCCGCGTAAAGTTATTGGATAAAAAATACGTTGGACCAGAGCAAAATGGACATACTTTGTCATTAATTTTGGTAGTGTTTTTACGTAGAATTAATGAATAAAAAATACGTCAAATTAGAGCAAAATGGACGTTTGACCTTTGACCCCAAACATTATTTTCATACTTTGTCACTAATTTTGGGAGTGTTTGAGCAACTTTAGATACCGGTACTGTTCAGTACATTCGTGTAAAATTATTGTATGAAAAATACGCTGAATCAGAGCCGTACTTGGCCATTGGCGCGGAAGCGATCTTTTCGTCCATAACTATTCTCACGGGATTCCTATTTCCTATCATTCAACACGATATAGACCTTTCCCCGAGCATCGACTTTCTTGTTTACTTTGTGACATTGGCTAATCAGCAAGATGCAAAAAAGGACGTAACAATGAGAGGAATTTTTCGCGGGTCAAAGGTTGGGGAAAGGTCCATGGTCTTTTTGCTTCGCAATATTTCGATCAGACCAAATCTTGCAGGCTGGTATTTGTCGACAATTGTGGAGTTATAATATTTTGGCATCTTTATATTACTGGATTATTGATTTTAAAACCATTTAAACGGATTTACATTGGTGAGCAATTGCAAATTTTCGGCGTGCAAAATTGATTTCGCTCGCGTGCATTTTTGCGGAGCGCTAGCGCCCTCGGGCGTGCACCTGCCATGGAATCCAGTCTGGCCGGTACTGGTACGGTACAGTAGGTACCTACCGGTACGGAAGCTGTTAGCTGGAAACAAAACAATGATCATAAACAAACTCGGAATCGTAAACAAATACTAAAATACGCCTAGCAATAGCATTGCTAAATAAAATCTAACGTTACCGGTATCTATCTATCTAAACTTAACAACTGTCACACTGCTGCATTGTAATTCTGTACCTTAGGCATACCGTAGGTCAGTAAGTGCTGAACGTAGGCTATGACTGTATGTATATTATACAGGTCTTACTACTTACTGAATAAAGCGCGAAGAGGGCAGAAGAGAGCGAACATTTTTCTTTCATTATTTATTAGCGTCCGTGAAATTTTAAACAATTTGATTGGAAACAGTATACAGTAGTAGGGAATGATCACGAGTTTATATCAGTAATCTTCAACATCTTTAAATAACCTAAGATGACGCAATATGAGCACACCAACAAGCAAAATCAAAGAAATTTTGGAGCTCCAGAAGTATGTGCACCAAGATGACGCACAACCTGAACTCAGTACTCGTATGTGTACCAGGTTAGGGTGCGTCATGTTGGATAACTTGGATTATCTAAAGATGTTGAAGATTACTGATATAAACTCGTGATCATTCCCTACCACTGTATACTGTTTCCCATCAAATTGTTCAAAAATTCACGGACGCTAATAAATATTGAAAGAAAAATGTTTCCCTCTGTTCTGCGCTTAGACCGTGAGACGGAACATGAAAAGCGCCTAGAAAATGAGTTTCGTAGCGCACATAAGAGAACAACCTGGAAATAATTCTAAAATTTTCCAAAAGTTGCACGTTTTACGGAAAGACGCTTTTACTACAAGAAATATGTGCTCCGATCTGTCCTATATTCTCTACATTTCCGGCAATGAACAATGACTTCTGCATGACGTAACAAATGAATTGAATCTGCTGTTAGCGGGCGGATGAATCTTAGTTATTACTGCTCGATCTTGCGTTTAGTTGGGTAGCCTTTCCATAGCCCTGTTTAGTTATGCTAAGACGTTGTTAAAAAGTATAATTAAGTTATTAAACACTTGTAGATCCTTACCACGGATATGGGCCGTGAGACGATCGAGGCCTTGAAAAACGCCCAAAATGAGTTTCGTAGCGCACATCTGGTAACTACATAAATATCTTAGTTTTGTATGAAAATGAACTTGTTCCACAATCCTGATGCGAAATTGAATATAAGGGGTTCCCGGAAATTCAATAACCATAGGTTTACAACAACACAGCATAAGAACCATGCAATTCAAGAGCCCTGCAGCACACTAACACAAATGTATTTCTGTAACGTTTGCCTGACCAAAATCAGACTTCCTCAGTCAATCATAATATATTAGGTAGATTACGAAAAATATGGCATACATATACCCAACAACAAAAAATACTTTAATTGTGTGAGAGGGGTCGCGAGGGACCTCGAAAGGTCTTCAAGCAGGAACACCAACAACGCTGATTCAGATTAGCGAATAAGTTTTATGTAATAACCACACGCAGTTTACAACAAGAACAGCATAAGAAGCTGCATTCATTTTATAGAAGCTATCAAACGTATTTATTTTTAAGCAATGAAGTCACAAATTAACATCGTGAACACAAATAAATCAGTTATTTCTCACTTAGAAATTTACCGGAGAAGTCAAGAAAATTAGATGAATGTACAATTTGTAGGGCCTACATAACATAGTGAACAGAAATATTACAATTTGTCTTTATTTAGTTCATGTGGTTATGTATTTGAACGGTGCTCCCGAAGTATGCGAACCAAGATGGCGGACATCGGAACGTAATATGTGTACTAGGTTAGGGTTAGGAGATAATTTTTTCCAATTTTCCTTATTTTAGTCCTATTATCAGTTCGAAG